AAGTGGAAGGAGTAAAGAGCACAGATATATTTGCTTGACATTAGGTAAAAGATGTGTGTATATAAAGAGTTTCATTCTGGCTGGCTCCAATGCCAAACCTCTGCCCCCTCCCTTCTAGGGCCTCAGCAGGAAGCACATACCAACTGTGTACAAAGTAAGAATCCAAAATAGCTTACCTGGAGATAAACCACTTGCTTGTACAATTAGAGAGGCCAGAAGTCCCTGGAGGTGAGAAGAAGACTTCTTCTTGCTTCCCTGCCTAACCGAGCCTGCCCTTGGCCTCCACTACCACAAAGAAGTGGAATTAAACTCCATTCTCTCCAGTACCCTTGCTTTGTTCCTCCTCAGTGGAACATCTGAGGAGGATGTTCCCTAAAGGGGCCTGCTCGTGGCCAAAGGAGGCCTACTGATGCCACCACGTCACACCCACCATTTATCTTTATACCTGTTAGAGATTAAACACAAACAAGGAAGTGAGTTTTTCACTATGGATTATTTTATTTTTCAGTTCACCTTTGTTCTAATCAGTACTTATCCATCTTCCCTGTTATCTCATCCTATGAGGTGAATAGTTTAAAGCCATGTTAGAGTTCAAGGTCAGGCTACCTTCTGCAGCTGGAGGCACCCCCAGCAGCCCTAAGTTTAACTCACCTGGGAGCTGTCAGGGACCCCTAGGGAGTGGGCAGAATGGGCAAGTGGTCAGAGGCGGTGTGGTCAGTTTTGCCACCTGCTGAACTGTGTCAGTGCTGCTGAGTCTGTCTGCTGGGGGACGGCCCGGGCACTGGCCCAAGGAAGGCTGAGAAAATCTTTACCAATTGCTAACCTCTAAGGCCTCACCTTCCATCACGTCCCAAGGCAGACCTGTAATTACAAATGCTCAACCTAATGATCACTGCCCAAGCCCAGGTGTTCTGAAGAAGTGAGGTGTCAGTTTGTATTAGAAAATGATAAGGAGCTATTGGCTCAGCAAAGATCCTGTAGAGCAAATCACATGAGCATATTGTGCTGCCTTCCTCCATCTCCCCAATGCCCTCTACAAGCCCAAATTAGAATTATACTGTGGCTGTCCTTTCTGCAGGTTGTGCTCAAGTTTTTATAAAAGATAAGTTAATTTTACATGGCACTTACAAGAATCAACCAATGAATACATAATTAAGTGGAACAACAAATCCCACACACACACAACTTCTCTCTCCCTTCCTCTTTCTCTAAAAATCAATAAAAGATCATTTAATTTTATTCTATTCAATCCATTGAGTTTATACACTTATTTTAGCATCTATTCTATGCCTTGGGACTGCACAGGTGAGGCATGGATTAAAATGTTGGGGCTGCCTTGAAGGTACATTCAACTGAGAAAAATAAGCACCTTTACAATTTCACAGTGAAGACTGAAGGCAATAGATAAAAGTGCTTTTGCTTTCTTCCCCTTCATTGTAGATGTTCCAAAGATCACAGCCCATATTTTCCTCCCTACCCCTTGCTTTGGGAGGAGGGAAAATTGAAACCTTATCTAAGGCTTATTCCTCCAGGGGATATGAGCCTCACAGGAGACTTTGTTTCATTCATCAACTTTTCTTTCACTGTAAGCCCCTTTGTACTTGCCCTAGAAATGTGTTCAAATTAACCTATCTTTACATTTCCTTCTCTATCTTTCTTTCCTCATAGGATATAGTTTATCTTCATCCATTCATCCAATCAATGATTTGCTTATTAATTGAACAAATGCTTGGCAATAGTTACTGTGGGCAAGGCCTCTCCTAGGCTGAAGACATGAAAACAGAAGGTCCTTGCCTTTGAGGAGCCCACTTCATGTCTGGGGAGACACATTTAAGCAGGTATATATTGCTGCCAACTTTCTCTTTTTTTTCATTGTTAAACTTCCTGGAAGAGTAACCACTTGCTCATTATTCAGTCCTTGAGGCCCTCACAGCATATCTGAAACAGCCATCGTACAAGTCAGCTGGGCTTCCTATTTCCAAATGTTCAGTCGTTGTTTCAGCGCTGACTCATCTCAGTGCTTGTGGCAGATTAGACCTCCTGCCGAACCCTTGTCACAACGTGGTTCTTTGGACACAGAGAGCTCCTGTGTCAGCTACATGACTTACAAGCTGTGTGGCCTGGGTGAGTCACATATCTGTCTGAGACTCAGTTTACCCTGAGACTCTGTCAATTGGGGATTTAAAAAGTCTATGTATCAGGGTTATTATGAGGATAAAATGAGAACATGTATGAAAAGTTCCTGTCACATGGTCGATGCCAAACAAATATTAGTCTCCTTTCCTGGATGACACTATATATTTTTTGTTTTTAGTTCTTTGCTTATCTCCCTTTCTCTCCCTATCTTTGTCCTCCCTATCTCTCTGTTTAGTCATTGCTTAAGGAAATATTGTTTTTTGGGAGCCTCCTCACCAAAATTCCAGGGAAAGTCCAAGATTTCTGTCTGGAGAGTCTCCCCCTTCGCTATCTCCAGCTCCACCTGCACCCCCAGTCTGAGTGGGTTTGGTGTCACAGACCTGGGCACGGCATGTGACCCAGGCCTAGCAATCAGAGTCTTGCATTCTTCTGAACCAACAGTGATTGGTTCAGGAATGGGCAGGGAGTCCTCTCAAAATCACTGAGACTCCAGGAGACCTCTACTCAGGCTTTTGGGGGTGAGGTACTTTTTTCCCACTGAGTTTGAATGTATAGAAATGTAAGACCAGGTGCAAATGTAGCCATCCTGCTATGAGGAGGAAGATCTAATCTGTGAATGAAGCTACGCTAGAGCAAGCAAAGTCAAAGAATGGGGAAAGAAAACCTGAGGACATCATGAGGGCCTCTGCGTTAAGTCACACCTGAAAGCAACATAACTTCTGGATTTCGCTGCTTACATGAGCCATTAGATCTCCGTTCTGCTGAAACATAAATTCCTTTTGGATTGAGTTTTCTGATAGTTGTAAACAAATAAATTTTAACTGAGAGAGAAATATGTTAACGCTCACTCATTCAACAAATGCTTATTAAACATCTTCTGTGTGCTAAAGACTGTGGGCTCAGAACTGGACATACAATTATGGGTGAGGGCCCATGTCTACCTCAAAAATCTTGTAGTTTATAAAGAGACAAGTACATAGATAATGACAATATAGTAACATCAGAACTACAGAAAAGGGTTGAACAGCATGCTCTGGAAGCACAAAAAGGGGATACTGAAAATATCTCAGGGAGTCATGGAAGTCTTTCCAGGGGGTATAATCTACATGGAGACTCAAAGGATACATAGCCAGCTAATGAGCAGGGAAGAGATGAAGTGTTTCATGCAGTGGGAAAGTGATAAGTAAAGGCTCAGAGAAAACAGAGAGCACAGGACATTTTGGAGACCTGTAGAGAGTGTAGTAGAGTTCTATGGAAATTGTCTATCATGAGTATAGAGGGGTAAGCAAGATCCAAACCATGAAGGACCTTGCAAGTTTAAGGAGTTTGTGTGGAAATATGAAAGGCTTTGAGCAGGATAATGTGTGGACATGGTTACCTGCTGCTACATATACAAATGCACCATCCATTCTCACACCTGTGAATGTCATGTACCTCTAGGTTGATGATATCAAAATCAGTGCCTCAGGTGTCTGTTCTTGTCTCCAGATACACAACTTCAGGTGGACACTCTATGGGAACTTCCAATGAATCTTTCCATCTTCCTTCAGTCTCATTCATCCTGCTAGACTCCCCAGATTTAGTAATAGCTTGTCCTCTTTCCAGTCACTGTCTCTAAGCCCTGAATCACCTTTCTCTCTTCCATTTCCTACACCATACTCAATGGTTGCCAAATCTCAGCAATTCTATTTTCAGAATGTCCCTTTCAGTTGCATGGGAACTGAAGGAGCTTACATTATTAATTTCCCAGAAAGCTTTCCTATTATCCTTCTTCTGGTAAATGAGTTGGGTATATGCAGGCCTGACTGTGCACGGTGTCCATAGCAGACCAATACTAGGGTGACTCTTCATGATCCCCACTTCCTGGTGTTCATGCCCCTTTATTTGAGTGTGAGTGGTATCTATGACCTATGGCAAAAGTGATGGAGTCCTCATTCCCCTGTTTATGTTATACATATCATGTAAGACCTGTTTCAGTGGACTGTTTCAGAAATTCTTCTTGCTGGTTTGATGAAGTTAAGTGTCCATGTTGGGGAAGATCACTTGGCAGGGAACTGTTGGTGATCTCTAGAAACTGAGGGCAGCCAGTAAGAAGTCAGGGGCCTCAGTCCTATAACAGCAATAAAAAAAATTCTGCCAACAACTTGAGTGAACTTAGGAATAGACCTTGTTCCAGTTTAGCCTGTAGGTGAAAACCTACTGTTGTCTGGCCCTTCAGTTGCAAGCTTGTAGAAAACCTACTATTTTGTGCCCAAACTTTTGATCTATAGAAACTGTGATAAAAGAAACATGTTTTATTTTAAACCACAAAGTTGGTGGCTAATTTGTATGCAGCCATAGAAAACTTATAGTGTCGCATTCTCTTTGCACGGCAGATAATGTCAGTTGCCTTTCTACTGACCATTTTCCTCTTTGTTGTTTCTATCAAAACATTAATTGTGTTTTAGATATTGGGCACCCATGTGTTTCATGAGTGTCTGCAACCCTAAGGGGGATAGGTCAACTGGTCTAAGCCAGTCTTGTTTACACTGTTTGCCTCACCAATGATTGGCCGAACATGGTTATATGACACAATCACAATTAATGAAACTTAAGAGATCATTTACTGGAATTTCCTTACCCTAACTATGGATCCAAGTCAAAAACATGCTTTTTTCCTTCCCTGGACATAGTTAAGAGATGACTTTGGGGAATGCTGCAGCTACCTTGCCTTTGAAAGGCAAGTCAAGAGAACAGCAGCGAAGCCTACTTGTGACCCTGGCATAATTGAGTCTCTCAGTTAACCAAGAGTAACCTGCCTGGAACTTCTTGTTAGCAAAACAAACAAACAAACAAACAAACAAAATCCTCATTATTTAAATCACTTTTTTTTTTATTATTTAAGACCTTTATTAACAAGTGCTTGCAGTTTGTTGACTTTTTTGAAAAAATCAAGTTGTAAACTTTTATTACAAATTAAAAATGAGGTTCTTAAAAATCTCAACTTGACCAGATATGAAACCATTTAAAAACCTTTAAAGGTGTATTGAGAAAAACCAGGCTTATTTTTTTTTAAAAAACACGTTTGTCATTACCAAAAAGAGACGTCTTTAGATAAAAATAATAAAAACCCCATGCTGCATAGATAATGCAGATAGTTCTAGTCATCTGGTCAACGCGCAAAAAGCAAGCACTTAAGGTCTTCAGCTCCAATCTTTTGTTCATTTCTTATTGCTGGAATTTCATATTCATTTCTTGTTGGATGACTAAACCGGATGATGGTAGAGATGGTAAGCTGGCATTTACTCAGCCCCGCCCTGCTCAGCCTCGGGAGCGGACGAATTCTCAGCTGGTGGATCGGCTGCTTTTGTCTCTTTGCCATCTTGTGGTTTAGGGTTTTCTGGGCGTCTGCGTCGGTAATTGAAGTTGCGGCGGTACCGACGTTGAGGTGGCTGCTGACCTTGGGTCTCATCTCCTTGATTTTCCTTATCTTCTTCATTGCCGTCCTCTCTAGGCTGTCTTTGGCGAGGAGGGCCCCTGCGAAATCGTGGTCTGTAGCCCCGATACATATTCTGTCTCACTGGTCTACCTTGTTCTCCCGCACCCGGGTTGTCAGCACCCTCCATCACTTCTCCCTGCACAGGAGGGCTGGAATATTGTGGTCGACGCCCATAGGGTCTCCGCATGTAGTAAGGTGGGAACCGTCGCCTGCGGTAGGGCCGGCGCTGTTGGGCCTGGCCTTCAGGAGCACTCTCCGATCCCTCATTCTTTTCCCCACTCTCACTATTCTGGTAATTCTGCTGGTAATTGCGTGGAGGACCCCTGCGACGTGGATAGCGTCTATAATGGTTAAATCACTTTTAAATGGGTATTCCATAGTTCCCAGCCCAAAGCACTCTTAACTGGAACCCTGTAAAAAGTTCAGAGCAAGGAATGGGCATGTGACCAGGGCAGGGTCCCTCAGAGTCATCTGCTGGGATTGATTGTCCTGACTCTGGACAAAGTCCGGGAGGCTTGCAAAGCTGGAGGACAAAATGAATCCCACACTGCTGAAGCTGTTGTACCACCATATTCAGAGGGCCTTTGTACAGCAAAGAATAAGGCCAAATTCATGGCGAGAGGGAGAGACGTAGCAGTAATGAGTCCCTAAACTGTCACCAAAGCTTTGTTTCCTGCTTGTTTGGTTCTCTAAAATAGCCTCACATTCTTCCTAGTTAAGTCAGCCAGTAAATAAACTCTTTAGCTTACCTGGGTTTGAGTTGAATTTCTATCACTTGCACTAAAAGAATCTCAACGAATATACTCTTTCTTCTGCCCTTCTAATACCTGCAGTACCCTTGCCTAATATATTGCCTACTAGATGGCATCTATCACCCCTCAGTCTATTCTTTCTCTATATCTGGTTATACCATTTTCCTCCCAAAAAGTCCCCCGCACACTGCATGGAAGGCAGCTGTAAGCCAGAATTCCTCAGACTGACATTCACAATCTAGCCCCAGCTACCTCTTCTTCGCCATCACATTCTGTTATAGTGTTTCTTAAACTTTTTACTTCTTTCACTATTGCCCACAATAAGATGTCTGCCAAGCACAAAAGAGTCAGGAGGATATGACTAGAAATAAATGACAAAGATTTATTCAAGGGCCTTAGGATTTAAGAACTGGAAACACAACTAGAGAATACCCACAGTGTTCCAAAGAAGTAAGAAAAGCTGAAAATACTTATATATAAAAAGTTCTTGAGAGGAACCAGTCCTGAATCCTTCGCCTCTATATTTGTTTGAGCTGATAATCTCCCAGATGTCCAGGGGTCTAGATAATGGATGTTAGCCAATCTGGACAGGTAGACATTCTTTCCTAAGTTCTTCAGGGTGTAATCAAAGTTGTCTATAAACCTATAGGTATAAGTTATCTATATGGTATATAGGCATATAGGTATATAGATATATAGATATATAGATATATCTCTAGGCATAACTGAAGATTTCAAAAATTTATATTCTCATGCTAATTAAAGCAAGAACAGAATTGTTTCCTCATGCCCCAGTCAACTTGATTTCAATAATTTAGCAACTTGACCATAGTTATTCCATTTTATTTCTTCACCCTTTCCTCAAGAAATATTATATATTATGCAACATATTATTATGTAAATTATATATTTCATAAATTACATATAAAGTATATGATATAACTTATTACACATAAAAGAAGAAAAGATAGTGTATTAACATAGAAAGGGTAAGGACTGTTTTGTAAAATGTTTGTTTTAGTTAGGTGTGTATATATGTACAGGCTCAAAATATAAAAAATACATATATTTTTTATATATAATATATAGTATTATATATAGTACATATTATTTAATGTATAATTACATGTATTATATTCCATAAAGTTATACACTCTAAAATATATATAACATATGTTATAATATACCAAATTTATAATTATATAGTATTTATGTAGTGTGTGTATATATATATATATCTTTTTTTTACATTATGACCCAATACACATGTAACTAAACCAAATGTTTTACAAAATGATGCTTACCCTTACTATGTACAATACACTATTTTTTCTTCTTTTCTATTCCATTCATTCTTTTAAAAAATGCTTGTTGCAGCCCAGATGCTTTTCTTCTCACAAGAGAAACGCAATCGCTTTGGTGCTGTGAGCGGCAGTCGCTGTGGCTATTGCAGGTCCAAGATGATCTATGCCCTGAGGGGCCCCACAGCTTTTCTTATGGGGAATGACCTGAGGGCCCAGGTTTCCTGCCACCAGATTTGGGAGATTTCCTGCTGAGAATGAGGCTGGGCCTTGCCTGGGACTCCGCGAGCCCTGATGGTTCCGAAATGGATTACAATGAGCAGCTTCGCTTGGACAGCCCCCCTAGGGCTCATCAGGAGGTACAAACATGGACCCACCGCTCCTTGAGAACCTCTTAACAATTCTGAATAAAAAGAATTCAGAAAGAGGGAGATGTCTGGTAACCTCTCCCTGAATGACTAGCTTCCAACACAGGAGAGAACGGGCCTCACCTGGATGCGGGTTGACTCACCCTCCGTCTCCTGCTCCCCGCCAGCTTTTTAAGGAGGTTACTGTGGGGCAGTTGAGCTTTTCACCTGGGTGGAGAAATCCATCCAAAACAGAAAGCAAGTTTCTTTCTTGAAAGAAAGAAGGCAGAAAAATAAACGTGCACAATAATCACAGTGAAAACAAATAAGCACCTTTGCAAAGTATGTAAAATAAAGCATAGTACCATCAGTTAGCAAAGACAACATTTTATATATTGCTATCGTATATCATTCTTGAATTCTTTGATTTTCAATGTAATAATCGTGTAATTTTTGAGCTGATATTTAACATCCTCTAAAATCATCGTGTAGAATAATTGGAAATTTCAGAAGTTCATAAGAAAGCCACTATATAGACCACAAATAAGAACTATTGTAATCTTTAAAAATACAAGTATTCCCTATATAGGCAGTATTTAGGGTCACCAATACAGAAAAATGCAAAACCTTCAGCTTCTTCAAGAAAGAAAGGCCTTTAGACAGGGCTACTTTTTATAATTGATTAGTTCCAGCATTTCAAACTTTTATATTCAATAGTTACAAAAACTTTAAAATAACCTCTTTTACTTGGAGAAACATGATAGTAATAATGTTTCCCTTTGCCTTTAATTCCAAGAATCGGTTGTTTAGTGAAATATACTAAATATTTTTAGAAAAGTCTCTTTTTTTGTATGTAAAAGTCTTTTACATACATAAACAGAAAATAAAATTAGCATATTTAATATAAATTAATGTATTTATAGGTTCAAGGTTTTCCCCGGGAAAAGCTCACTCTATAATTTAATTCAAGGGAAGCCAGTAGAAAATGTTGTGTTCAGTTGCCTGAAGTATAACAGTCCCTCAAATACTTGAAATAGAATTAAGTGACTATGAAGAAAGCGTGCAATAATGTTGATACAAGTTCCAGTTGAAACGAGTTGGCTTGCCACGTATCCAGACCCTCAGCACTCCCAACCTCTGTTACGAATGTCTTCTTCCAAGTTTCTTTAACATCTTGCCCCCTTTTCTCATAGACCCTGCCAAGCTCAAGCAACCATTCTCTTTCTCATATATTTTTAACTTTTCATGTGAAGGTACTTGTAGATTCAAATGCAGTTGTAAGAAATAATGCAGAGAGAGCTCATACAGTCTATCCAGTTTCTCCAGTGCCTCCATAGTGACATCTTATATATCTAGCATGCAATGTCACAACCAGAAAATTGACATGAATACAATCTACCCACCTTGTGCAAATTTCACTAGTTTTGAATGGACCCATTTATGTATGTGTGCATTTCTTTCTTTACAGTTTATCACAGCTGTAGATTTTATATCCGCTACTCCCGTGAAGATACAGAACAGTTTTGTCATGAGAATCCCTTGTGCTATCCTTTTATTTTATCTTATTTTATTTTATTTTTCTGAATCCAGAAAAAGATAAGTGCTTATATATTAGCTACAACTGTGCCATATCTCATTTTAAGTGTTTGCCATGGTCTACTTTTTTCAACAACTCAAATATGCAGTTATCATTCAAACTCACTCTCCAGATGAGAAACAGAGGCAGGTTAAATGCATCTAAGACTCGGGATTGGAACTCATTCTTGTTTATGATAATGTATGATTTATAATAACTACCCTCTGAATTTCAATAGGGCTCACCATATTAGACACCCTCCAACTTTCTGAAAGTCATTGTGACCTTCTTATATTTGATCTCATAGCATCCAATCTTATGTATGGAATGACACATCCATTCATAGCTGTATTGCATGGCTGCCACAAAAATTAGCTGATATGCTCACTCTTTAAAAAAGCATGTTCTAGATATAAGGGCCATAGAATGGAGTTCTACTAGAACTAAGTTCTTACCTTACTGTTGTCCAGAAGTTAGCAGAGAGTGAGTACAATATCTCCACAAAACATTTTAAAACTACATCCTGTAAAGCCTCAGTTCACAATCTAATTATGGGACCAGCATTTCTGATCTTTTCCCCTCCAAGACCCAGGAATTATAATTTTTTGTGCCACGGGCATGAAACAGTTCTGGCCACCAACACAGGCAAGAAGCTAGGATGAACTGAGGACTGTACACCTGCTTTGACCTGACTGATGTAAGAGCAACACCACCAATCACGTGTGTCCTTGCCCATTACCAAGGGTTTGTGCTAACCTTTTAGGGGCATAGGCACCTCCTGCCATTTCCCCCACACTAACTCTTGGTGCCTACTAATCTGTTCTCCATACCTGTAATTTTGTCATTTCAGTACTATTACATAAATGGAATCATTCAGTGTGTAATCTTTTGAAATTGCCTTTTTTATTTTTCACACAGCATAATCCACTGAAAGCCATTCAAGCTGTTCTTTATATTCAAGTGGTTCATTCTTTTTATTGCTGAGTGTTACTCCATGATATGTATGCATGTATGACAGCTTGTTTAAGCATTCCTCAATTGAAGGACATTTGGGTTGTTTCCAGTTTGGGACTATTATGAATGAATCTGCTATGAACATTTGTGCAAAAAATAAAACCAAACTAAACAAATGCTGGCTGCAGCCTACTGAACTGATTTAATGGCCCACGAATGTGTTATGACATATGATTAAAAGAAGTCGTCGGCCCTGGCTGGCATGGCTCAGTGGGTTAAGTGCTGGCCTGCAAACCAGAATGTTGCCAGTTCAATTCCCAGTCAGGGCACATGTCCAGGTTGCAAGCCAGGTCCCCAGTTGGGGGCAAGCAACAAGCAACCACACATTGATGTTTCTCACCCTCCCTTTCTCCCTCCTTTCTCCG